CCCATCTCTGCAGAGAAAACCCACAGGGGTATCTGTGATCTACTGGGAGCAGCTACTGCTAGGTTCCAGCAGCAATGAGGCAACTGTTAGCCTGCGATTGACCTCCCCAGTGGGGATTCCTGAAGATGGTTCATCCAGAGTGAAGGCCTTCTCTGACCTCCTGACCTCAGAGAAGCAGCCACGGGGAGCTGTGCAGCAAAAGCCAGAGTTGCAGCTAACCCCAGGGAGAGTCTTCCAAAATATCCCAGACCTCCTTGGGGCTGAGGAACGTGGAATGAGTGGGGCTTGGCACGAATCTCAGAGAGACTCCAGTGTTCCAGAGCCCCCACTATGGGACAAGCTGGGGGAGGCCTTCCAGGCAGGCCCAGGACTTCTCTCTGGGGACAAACCTTTTGAATGCAGGGCATGCAACAAAGTGTTCGTGAAGAGCTCAGACCTCCTCAAGCACCTGCGTACCCACACGGGAGAGCGGCCTTATGAGTGCACCCAGTGCGGCAAGGCCTTCAGTCAGACATCACATCTAACTCAACACCAGCGCATCCACAGCGGGGAAACGCCCTATGCCTGCCTGGTATGTAGCAAGGCCTTCCGACACAGCTCCTCATTGGTGCGCCATCAGCGCATCCACACAGACGAAAAGTCCTTCCATTGCAGTGAGTGTGGCAAGGCCTTCAGCCACGGCTCCAACCTCAGCCAGCACCGCAAGATCCACGTGGGAGGGCGGCCTTACGCCTGTGCTCAGTGTGGCCGCCGCTTCTGCCGCAATTCGCATCTCATCCAGCATGAACGTACACACACCGGGGAGAAGCCCTATGCTTGCTCCCTCTGCGGCGCAGCCTTTAGCCAGGGCTCCTCACTCTTCAAACACCAGCGTGTGCACACCGGAGAGAAGCCTTTCTCATGCCCACAGTGTGGCCGTGCCTTCAGCCATAGCTCCAACCTCACACAGCATCAGCTGCTGCATACTGGCGAAAGGCCCTTCCGTTGCGGGGACTGCGGCAAGGCCTTTGCCAAAGGCGCAGTGCTGCTCAGCCACCGGCGCATCCACACAGGTGAGAAGCCCTTCGTGTGCACGCAGTGTGGCCGCGCCTTCCGTGAGCGCCCAGCCCTCTTCCATCACCAGAGGATCCACACCGGAGAGAAGGCCCTTCGGAGGCCCAGGGGCGGCATGCACTCCCATGTCAGGTCTCTAGCGGTATCCTTAGATGGTACACCTCCCAAGGCCACCCTGGACTCTGGCAGCAGTCCCAAAGCTAGCTGAGGCCTGAGATCACAATTGTGCCCTTCCCTGCCTACTCTGAATCCCTCTCACTCACTGTTGAAGAGCCTGTGTCCTCAGCAAACCCACTGAGAAGCCGTGTTATGTGAGCCAGGTATGGGGAAGACTTGCCAGTCGGTACCATCCATTTACACATGACAAGATCTGCTGTTCAGCCACAATTCACACCTACACCTTGAAAGAAGCCATTCTGGAGAGGCATCCGGAGTATGCATGTACCCCCTGGGACTGATGGAGCGGACAAGGACTGCCCCCAGAATAAGTGGGTAACCCACAGACATCTTCATGTTGATGCCACTTCTGTATTTCCTGACTGTGGCTATGAAAACCGGGCAGTGGTGGCGCACGCCTTTAATCCCAGCACCCAGGAGCCAAAGGCGGGTGGACCTCTGTGAGTTCGAGGCCAGCCTAATCTACAAGAGCTAGTCCGGGACAGGCTCCAAAACTACAGAGAAACCCTGTCTCAAAAAAAAAAGAAAGAGAGAGAGAGAGAGAGAGAGAGAGAGAGAGAGAGAGAGAGAGAGAGAAAAGAAAAGAAAAGAAAAAAGAAAAGAGAAAAAAAGGAAAGAGGAAAAGAGCAGGTGGTAGGTAGAGAGACAGCTGGAGGAATCTGCTTGCTCAAGCTAGCAGCTGGAGATGCACCCCAGGGTGCAGTGCAAACAGTTTCCTTGCAGCAAGCCTCAGGCAAATAAATGGTTTGTTTCTGAACCTTAGCTTTCTCCTCTGTGAAAATGAAGAGGGAAAATTTGGGTCAATGGAGGGGAGTATTAAAATAATACTGACTGCTCTTCCAGAGGTCCTGAGTTCAATTCCCAGTAAGGGCTCACAACCATCTATAATGTATTTCGGTGCCCTCTTTTGGCATGCAGTGCAGGCAGAACACTGTATACATTAAAAAAAAAATAGCAACTGGATGTAGTAACACAAGCCTTTAAACCCAGTGCTTGGGAGGCAGAGGTAGGCATATCTCTGTGGTCAACTTGTTCTGCATAATGAGTTCTGGCCCCAACCAGAGCTACATGTTGAGACTCTGCATAAACAAACAATAAGTAGATGAGTGAATGAATGGTGCTCTAACAGAATCCAAATAAAGTCCAGGTAGACTCATGCCAGGCATGAGTTAGGTACTGCACAGTAAGCAGCTTTGTGAGTCTTGTATTGGTGACTCTGCTTCAAAGGAGAAAACTGAGGGACACCGAAGAGGTAGTGTGGCCTGGAGCACAGTACAGAACCAGGACTGAATTTGGATGCACTTCTGCAGTCTCATAACCCCTTCCCTGCAGTCTGCCAGGCTTGAAGGGCTACGGAGACAGGTAGGGAAGATGTGGCTTTCAGCACTGTAAGACGGATCAAGGATGCCGATTCCTCATCAGCATCCATTCCCAGTCTCATCCAAGCCTGTCATCATCAGTCATTACCAAAGCCCATGCTACATGAGCCTTTACACCTGAAGTGCAGTAACTTTAGAGGAAGTAAGATGGCACTGCTTATTTCTGCTGGGCTTAGCCATCATTTAGACACACACACCTGCCCCTACTGTTGTCATCCCCACCTTGGTTGGAAGGTAAAGAGCTGAGCTGGAAGGACTTGACATTTCCTATGAGTGGGTGAGATTCAGTTTGCTTCTTGTGGCCTTCATTAGACCAGGACCCATTTGGACTTGAGGCCACACCCAGGGAAATGGAGGCATGGTGGCACTTACTTTTAATCCCATCACACAGGAGGAAGAGTTACAGGCCAGCCTGGTCTACAGAGTGAGGTCCAGGACAGCGGAGCTGCTACCCAGAGAAACCCTGTCTCAAAACAAAGAACTAGGTTTGATGATGCATGCTTAGAATCTCCACCTCTGCAGTTCAAGGATAATTTTAAGCCCTTTCTCTATAGCTTTGGAGCCTATCCTGGAACTAACTCTTGTAGACCAGGTTGGCCTCAAATTCACAGAGATCTAACTGCCTCTGCCTCCCGAGTGCTGGGATTAAAGGTATGTGTCACCACCACCCGGATGGGGCCCTATCTTAAGAAGAAAAAACTTAGCCAGGTGTTAGTGGTGCATGCCTTTAATACCAGCACTCTGGAGGCAGAGGCAGATGGATCACTGATTTTGAGGCCAGTCTGGTCTACAGAATGAGTTCCAGGACAATCAAGGCTAAAGAGAAATCCTGTCTTGAAAAACAAAAGTTGAGATACCTTGACTTTTTTGTTTTTTTGTTTTGTTTTGTTTTGTTTGAAATACACTGCCTCTGCCTCCAGAGCGCTGATATTAAGGGCATGTGCCACCATCGCCTGACTATCCTGACATTTTTAACATCTGTATGAACAATAATAGTTGTTTTTACCTTAAAACAATGCAGATAATTTAAATGGAGCACACAGACATGCCATTGGAGTATCAGCACAGATTTGGCTTTAATCTGGGTTCTCGGGGGTAGGGGGCATAGGGTAGAGATATAGTTTGTCTGCATTCCAGTGTAGGATGGGATCATCTGTATCCCTCTTGGTGGCCACAGGTGGGTGGGGGAAGCCAGGAGACCTGGGCAGAGTGGGCCAGCCCCAGAGCAGCGGCTCTGTTGAAAGATGGGCCTTTGTGGGTCAGACTGTGGGAGGGGGAAGACTGGGAAGACCAAGGCAGTGCTGTGAGGGGACCTGCTATCAAGGTTACAGTGCCATGGTCTCAGAATCCTTGCAAGTATGGCAGTGCATACCTGTAACGCTAGCACTTGGGAGGCTGAGACAGGAGGATCTGGGGTTAAGAGGCCAGACTTGACTGCATAGCATGTTTGAGGCCAGTGTGGAGGCTACTGGGGCATCAGATGTGTTGATACCTTTAATCCCAGAACTCCAGCACTCAGGAGACAGACACAAGCAGGTCCAGAGCAGTTGGGCTGCTTAATGAGATCTTGCCTCACAAACAGAACAACCTGCAGTTGTCCTCTGTACTTAAGACACACCTGTCCCACCCATTTGCCAATGAAATCTGTCCACTAAACCTCAATAGTTCATGCAGGGAGGGGTGCTGTGCAGGACCCAGATGCCCAAGGTCCTGTAGGGGCAAGTTCTCTGAGCTAGGCCTCCTGCGATACCCAGTGGGCATACTCAGCTCTTCTTGGATGGAGCTGTGTAATGCCAGGAGGGCTCAGAAACAAAGATAGCTGTTGAGCAAAGGAGCTCCCCAACAGTCATGCAAAACCTGAAGCAGATGTCCTGGACCTTCCTGGCCCCTCAGACTGGGGTCAATACCATCTTGTCATCCTTGTGTGCCTACTGCTTAACCCTCCTTGAATCTATCTCTTCCAATCCCCAGAATTATTCTGTGTTCCCCTATGCCTGGTCTTCCCCGATAACTATGCCTGTATTAGTTGGCCCCTCTTAACAGGCTGTGACTGTAAAAATGTCCTGGGCTTTCTACGTCAAAATATTAAACCAGCTTAAGTTTGGTAGCACCTGCCTGTATTCTCCACACTGAGAAAAACTGAAACTGGAAGATGGGGAGTTAGAGACCAAACTAAGATGTAGAAACCCTGTCTCAAAGAAAAAATTTTTTTTTACAAATAAATAAGTAAAGAAAAAAAAATCCACAGGGAGCTCACACCTTTAATCCCAGCACTCAAGTGGCAGAGGCAGGAGGATCTCTGTGAATTTAGGACAGCCTGGTCTACAGAACTAGTCTAGGACAGCCAAGGCTGCATAAAGAAACCCCCATCTCAAAAAATCAGAGAGAAAAAACAAAACAAAAAACCAAACACATGCACCACACTTAGCTCACATGAGTCTACAGGTGACAATAGAAGAAACAAGAGATTCTTGATGAAGTTGTAGCCGAGCGCTCGCAAGCAAGCACCTCACCTCAGAGATCTGGAGCACCGGTGCTGGCCGAGCTGTCACCATGCCTCTGGCTAGAGATCTTTTACACCCTTCCTTGGAAGATGAAAAGAAAAAACATAAGAAGAAACGGCTGGTTCAGAGCCCAAATTCTTACTTCATGGATGTGAAATGTCCAGGCTGCTACAAGATTACTACAGTTTTCAGCCATGCTCAGACAGTGGTTCTTTGTGTAGGTTGTTTAACAGTTTTGTGCCAGCCAACAGGAGGAAAAGCCAGGCTCACAGAAGGCTGTTCATTTAGAAGAAAGCAACACTAATCATCTATATAAGTTCCTGAGTTTGCACTTTTCACAGAAAGCCTTACCAAGTTTAGTGACTCTACCAAGACAATGTAACTGTAACTGTGTTTGATTTTATAAAGTATACAACAGTGATCTCCTATTTTGAGTCAGTTTTTCAATAAAGTTTTAATTATAGACAAAAAAAAGAGATTCTTGAGTCCCGTTTGGACAAATAAATTTATTGGGGTTACAAGAACATGGGTGACTGAAGAGTCCCCAATCAGTTTTTTACCTTAAAATTCAGCTTTTTTTCCCCCTCTATACAGGGTTTCTCTGTTTAACAGCTCTGACTTTCCTGGAACTCATTTTGTAGACCAGGGTGGCCTCAAATTCACAGAGATCCGCCTGCCTCTGCCTCCCAAGTGCTGGAATTAAAGGTGTGCGCCACCACTGCCTGGCTAAAATTCAGCATTTCTAAGACCACACACAGTTGGGCAGGAAGGACTGGTGACCAAAATGTCCCCCCACTCCAAGAGAAAATGTCAATCACCCAGTTTCATTGACCATGTGCTGTATAATATTTTTTGTGCTATATAATTTTATTTCATTGCCCTAAGGGCAAGGTCAGTAGGTCGCCATAGGTGAGGTCTTTTACAGATTCTCTGGATGTAATTCTCACAACCACCCAGTGGGGAGAGGCTGGGTTTTAAGGGGCTTCCCAGGGAGCTCTCCCCTGGAAACACCTTTGTTTTAGGGCTCCCCATCCTGGTTAGCTGGCTCCCAAGCCTTCACTGTACTGCAGGGTAGACCTGGTTGAATCTTGTAGTATACCTGTTCCTCCTGAAACAACCATTGCGCTAGTCCCAACTCCATTAAATATTATGGTTATATTGGGTTGACCAGTGTAATCACAAAAAAATATTTTTTTGAGGCAGGATCTAAATTCCCCAGGTTGGCCTCTCAGCTATCTTACAGCAGAGACCTCATCTCCTAAGGCAATCCAACTGGTAAGCCAAGTTGACAAACTCCCCACACAACTGCTCGGGAGTTTCAGATGTTGAATGCCAGCAACTGGCAGCCAAGGAGGGGGTTCCCAGGAATCGGAAGAAACTAGAATAAACACATCCAGTTCAGGACTGAATGATTATATCATGGTATATGGAAACAAAACTAACTCCACATACAATTCAATTTAAAAGCTGTTAACTGCTGCGTGTGGTAGCCCATGCCCTTAATCTCAGCAGACAGGAGGAAGAAGCTGGAGGATATCTGAGTGATCTCCAGGCCAGCCGGGGATAGTAGTTGTTTTGTTTTGAGACCCCGTTCCCCCCCCCAAACAAACAAACAAATAAAGCCATTAACTTATTTTTAAAAAGCTTTTTTCCCAAAAATTAATATAGGTCAATTTGTCTAACTGCAGCCTCCAAATTAGAGGTTGAGTGTGTCCCATAATCTCAGATAGAAACCTCCATCCTCATTTGGAGTACTGTTATTGGAGACTGTTAGTGAGGGGATAATCACATGGTTACCTCCTCTGAACGCTTGCCCACCCTATGGGCCTATTGCCCCCACAATATCTCGGGCGCTTAACGGGGTGTATGTAACAGAGGCCATACTGGGTGTTCCTCGCCCAACACTGTCTCCCACCGTGATCGTCTGGAACAACCATCTAGGCCTTCTCCGCCATAGGGCGAAGCTTACAATGTTGCTTTGGGAACAGCAAGGGCTGTGCACTGGCTGTTACCTAGGCGACACGTGGAGCGACGATACATTCTGGAGCTGAGCGCCAGCTCTAATTGGTCGGGACACCTGACCAGCCAATAGAAACCAGGTCCGCTGTGCACATGCGCAAGGAGGCTATCCCGCAGTCTGGTCCACAGTGGGTGAGTCCTTCGGTTGGGGTGCAAAGGAAGAACGGTTGCCAAATCAAAAGAGCGTACCTCCGGAACTCTGCGGCGGCACCGCGGGCTCAAGGACAGGAACGAAACGTCTCGCGCGCGTGAGAGGCCTTGGAAACGCGCTGTCGTCCTTGCTGAGGCTCACGGGAGACGTAGTCCGAGCGGAGGTGGGGGGGCGTGCCTGTGGGGCAGGCGCAGGATTGGCCAGACCGGTAGGGTAACGAGCAAGGAGGGGCGTTCTGTGAGTGGCGGTGGGACACGCGGTGTCACTTCCCGGAAGTGCCCCGAGCTCCTGGTGCGCTCGGAGGCGTCAGAGGTGTGTGCACTCCTGGCCGGACGGGCCCAGCTTCTCATGGCTCCCCCGAGCTCCAGGAACGCCTCCAGCCTTCGAACACAAAACACCGGGACCCTCCCCTTTCTGACACCCCCAACTCTAAGGTTCTCCTGGACAGGACAGGTGCCCCAGGAGAGCCGGTTTCAATCCAGAACCTCTTAAGGACTGGGACGCAGGTTCCAGTTTGTGACTCCACACAATACAGGGCTGTTTGGTTTGTCTTTTTCTTGGGAATTTCACGGGCGTAGGTAAAGGCAACTTGAGGCATCCACAGTTAGGTTGTGATCAGCGAGCAGTGTCACCACGCCTATATAGGCTCCTGAGAGTGCACCAGGCTTTCAGCTCTGTCCCAGGTCATGTATTTGGACCTCAGAGCCAACTCTTCTGTTAGCATAACCTGATCTGCCTTCTGCCTGAAGCCTCAAGTTACCCTGGATGACAGTCCTATCTGTGTCCTCCTGATCGTTTGTCTGCTGGGGGAGCCACCTTCATCTTCCAGTAGTCCCCTGTTGTACCCAAATGTTTGAGCCGGCCATTTGCAGAGTTCTAGAAGTTACTTGGACATCTTCCACCCAGGCATTTACATCAAGGATCCCCGGGTCTCAACTGCTATAAGCTTGCACCTCCCATGACCTTCCTTGAAGCACTCCTGGCCTCAGGGTTCTCTTTTCTGGCTTCTAGAAAGAGTCTGATGTGTATCTTTAGCCTTACATGACACTCTCATTCATCCTTTTCTGTAGGTCCCTCTTGTCAGCTCCCAAAGACCCTTCAAAGCAAGAATGTCATCTCCTCTGGGTCCCTCACATGTATCCCTCAGGGACTCCAACACCACCATTGAGGAGCCTGAGGCTGCACGACTCCGATTCCGGGGTTTCTGCTATGAGGAGGTAGAAGGGCCCCGAGAGGCGCTGTCCCGGCTTCGAGAGTTCTGTCATCAATGGCTGCACCCCGAGTCATGCTCTAAAGAGCAGATGATAGAGTTGCTGGTTTTGGAGCAGTTCCTTGGTGTGTTGCCCTCTGAGATCCAGGCCTGGGTGCGAGGGCAGCAACCAAGAAGCCCTGAGGAGGCTGCAGCCCTGGTTGAGGGGCTACAGCATGATCCTGGGCAGCTGCTGAGCTGGGTGAGTGTAATGACATTAGCTTCTTAGCGGGATAGATCGGAGGTAGAGCCCCTGTGACATGCTTCTCTTCAGATCACAGCCCACATCCTGAAGCCAAAGGTGCTTCTTACAGTCCAGAAGACAAAGGAGTCTTCAGAGAGCCACCACCTCTCAGTAGCAACGGAGTCCTCTGAGGCAGGCCCTGCAGAGGCGCCACAGGATGCGGGGTTAGACAGAGCTGCCCAGATTAGTTGCAGTGTGAAGGAGGAAGCCAATGCTGATGGTCAGGAGATGGGTGAGAGGATACAGCATCAAAATTTCAAATTCCTGGGTGTGTGTGTTGCGGGGCGGGATAGCCTAAGAGAGGTTGTGTCAGGGTTGAGACTCCTGAAATAAGTCTGGATGTCCCCAGCTACGATAGGGACCCTGGAGAAACTATATAGCTGGATTCTTATGGAGCAACAAGACAAGGCTGACCTCCCACTATGTCACATGACAGAGGCAGACCAAGGCCAATGCAGCTTGACACTCTTTCCCATCTGCCTATCTTTCTCAGTATCCCCAAGCCCTCTCCTTCCGGCCCAGACGCCTGAGGGACATCTTGGACACCAGGAACCAGCCTCCACATCCTTCTATCCAGGAAGGATCCAGGTAAGCAGCCTCCAGCAGGAAAATCAGGCCATGGCTGCGGGAGGGGAAGTGTCTGATGGTTGTGTTCCGCCCTGTGAGTTTGTAGGCTCCTCTGCCAGTGACTCCTGTGTTCTGTTCTGTTTTGTTTTACTACTTCTTAGTAGTAAATAACTTCCCTCCCAGCAGGTCCTGAGAGCTGAAGACTAGACTGGTAGTCTCTCATTGGAAAAGATTTAGGCCTCAGGTTCATGCCTGGTCCAGAGTGGCCAGAACTGGTGGACATGGCTTCCTCACCTCCAGAGAAGCCAGTTACTGGAGAGGCTTGTAATACCCAGGGGCCGTGGGCTAGCTGTTGTGTATGCAGGTGGAAAGGAGACTGCCACTGCAGGATTCCTGTATTCCTGAGAGCAGATCAAGATATTCTCCCTGAGCTTGCCTCAAGTTCCTTCTACTGTTTTTCTCAAAGTTCAGTGACCTGGAACCTTAGTGTAAAGCCCCTGCCACCTGAGTGTGCATAGTTAATGTGGAGCGGGAGTAAGGATCTTGTCCTCTCCAGGTTCTTTCTGTTTCTGAGCCCTTCCACTTGGGAGCGCCCTTCCTCAATAGGATGTCTAGTTAAGGTGTGCTTCAAGATTAAGAAACCCCTCTAGGATCCCTCTCTGGTGTTCTCACTTCCAGACAGCATCACCTTTAGATGTACCTGTCTGTGGCATCCACTTCCTTTTCCTCCACATTTGCTTGGCTTGTCCTTTGGGGTTATTTTTTCCAACCTACCAAAGACCTATATGGCAGATCTTAGGGCAGGGACAAAGGTAGATCTTTTAGGCAAGGAATTCTTTGCTTGGGAAGGCTGTTATAGGTAAGCCCCTGTCCTGCCACCAAACTCACCCTCTTCAAACCTTGCCTGAACCAGCTGGTACAAAACTCCCGAGCCTTCTCTGTCATGGTTGCCTCCTCAGCTCGTCACAGTTCTGAAATTCCTCATTACTACCTTGGTGTTGTCCTGCCCCAACCTTTTTGCTTTTGTTTTGTTACATTTGTTTTGAGACAGCATCTCTCTACACAGCCCTGACTGTCCTGAAACTAGCCATGTAGACCAGACTGGCCTCGAAGTCACAGAAATATGCCTGCCTCTGCCTCTGAGCATGGGGATCAAAGGTGTTCCCCGCCATGCCTGGCTTCTTCACCCTTTTTCTAAAAACAATAAAATAAAACAAAACAAATAAAGATTTTGGGAATGTAGCTCAGTTGGTAGAGTGCCTGCCTAGCATGTACAAGGTCCTAGACTCTAACCCCAGCACGGCATAAACTGGGGATGGCAATGCTCACCTGTAATCCCAGAGCTCAGGAGGTCGAGACAGGAAAGTCAGAACTATAAAGTCATCCTCAGCTACATAGTGAGTTTGAGGCCAACCTGGGCTACTTAGACCTACTCTCACATGTGCACACCCCAATAAAGGCCAAAAGAAGACATTTCTCACCCCAAGGAAGTTTCAGTTTTGTTAATCAGTCTTGACAGAAAGTGACTGAATCCTGGGCCTCTTACTCCCCTTCCAGCACATCCTGCACACAGTTTAGTGACCAGAAGAAGGATGGAGACAGCCATGGTGTCTCTGTTGAAAACCCACCCACAATGTCTGGCCGTCACTGAGACAGGCCACTGAGACAGATGAAAGCTGACCCAGTATTCACAAATGCCAGTTCTGACTTGGTCCTTAGCCTGCTGCAGTTGGAGATTAGGTAACCTGTCACCCACTGAGTGATGGATAGGGTGTGAGGCTGGGAGGGAGAGGCAGTGACTGGTTACATCCTTGCAGAAGGAGTGGGGCCTGTTGGACTCATCACAAAAGGAGCTGTACTGGGGTGTGATGCTGGAGAAGTACGGCACAGTGGTGTCCCAGGGTGAGGTTCAATGGCTCTTTGCCCTGTCTTCCCTGCCCCATCCTCCACACCCGCTTCCCTGCATGCGCTAAGCCCCCACTGGGGCTCCAGGGTGCAGTGACCCAGCATCTGGCTGCATCTCTCCTACCAGGAGGTACCCACCCCCATTCTTCTGTGCAAGTCCCCGTGTGACCAAGCCCCCCAAATGAACGTTTTCCCCACCCCAGCAAGCCTGCCGCTGTTAGAGCCAGATGTACAAGTTGAGTCTGAGCTGAGGCCAGCTCATGCGGCAGGATTGGAGTCCCTCAGGAGCCATCTCCCAGAAGTGGGAGCCATTGCAGGTCCAGGGCTTGTTCAAGCCTGCACATCCTCTCCAAGTGATGAGAACCGGAGCCCTTGCAAGGACCCTTCAGCCTTGTCTCCTGCACCACTTCTTGAAGCCCCTGCTAGGCCTGCACCTCGGAAGCTGTACACTTGTGAGCAGTGTGGCCTCAGCTTTGATTGGAAGTCTGTTTTTGTCATCCACCATCGCACGCACCTGGGTGGGTCAGGCCTGGAAAGGCCACCACAGGTACACCGGGAGCCAGCCATGGGGCGCTCCACTGGCCTTCGGGGCTATGCATGCGTGGAGTGTGGGCGCCGCTTCAGCTGGAAGTCACAGCTGGTCATCCACCGCAAGAGTCATGCAGGCCAACGGCGCCACTTCTGCCGGGACTGTGGGTGCAGTTTTGATTGGAAGTTTCAGCTGGTCATTCATAGGAAGATCCATCAGCCAGAGAGTCCACGAGCAGCTGGAGAAGGCTGTCTTACCTTGGGAGCCTCCAGCTCCTAATGCATCCCCTCCAGCCAAGAGGAGGGCTCTGGGGCACCCCAAGTGAGTCAGGAACCCCAAGAAGATCTGCTGTCCAACGCCAGACCACCCAGTATAAGAGGCTGTTCACTTTCTGCCCCTGCTTTATGGAGCCAGGTACTAATCTGACGGTACTAATCCACGGCTGGGGTCCTGGGGTCCAGCTTCTGCAAGGGGAGAGAGCTCCCTGCTTCGTAATTCTCAGAAATTGTCTGAGGTCCCTTCTTGCAATGACCAGGAAAGAAGTCTCTGTGGAAGGTACAGGAAACCACAGCTGCCTTTTCATCTCTTGAATGTGACCCTCAACGTGCCAGGTTTTTAACATAAGTAATGTCTGTAACTAGAATTTCTGAGGAAGAATTCTAACTTCCGGCTTCCACTGATCAAAAGAACAGCCTTGTGTCTGGCTGACGAGCCACAGGAACCACAGGGCGGCTGAGACAAGGACACTTCAATTAGTCCCTTCACTCCAGCCTGCCCGGTTGCTTGACCACACGCACTGCTTGCCACCTCCCTGGTCTTTGAATTCCTGAACCTGGACTTGGATGAACAATAAGGGACTTTCCTTTGAGAGTGTGAGAGGCCGTGGGTAGCTTCTGAGAAGTTAGAAAACACATGGTTGCCTCAGGCCATGCATGCCCCTAGGTCAGGCCTACACCCCACACCACCGGTCAGTTCATCATTAAACTGGAGGGCAAAGAGCAGTTCCCTGCTGCCCAGGGAACTGTGACCCTCCGGACAGTCACTCATGATTTGTCCATGCATGGTGTCCTATTAACTATGCCTGTAAACTAGGTGGCTCGAAACATTTATTTACTAATTTTTCACCATCAAAACTCTGAAATAGATCTCACTAGATCAAAGGTGTTAGTATGGTTGCAGGCTCCCGCTGGGAGGTGCAGAGGTCACCAAAGGCCCTTGACTTATGGTTTCTTCTTCCATTTTCAGCAATGGGCAGTTCTTTTCCTCATTGGATCATTGATTTCCACTTGCAGAACATGGGGGACCTTATATATTCCAGGGTGATCACCATCTTTTGGTCAGACGGTGAGGCAGGAGATTTTATTTTGTTTGAGACGGGGCCACCTTGTGTAGTAGAGGCTAGTCTCTAACTGGTGATCCTCCTGTCTCAGCTTTCTGGGTGCTGGAACTATAGGCTTGTACTACCAAACCCAGGTTGGTACTTTTAAATCCTCTGTATGTGTGTTTGAGGCAGTCTCACTGTAAAGTCCAGGCTGAGTGCAGACTCCCTGTAGCTCTCCAGCATCAGTCTCCTGCGGGCTGGGATTAAAGGTGTGCACCATCAGGCCGGGCTAAGACTTTAAAGACTTTTCATTTTCAAATTTAGAAATATGGAGCAGGATTCGGTGTTGTAGGCAGATCTCTGTTAATTTGAGGTCAGACTGGTTTCCATAGTATGTTCCAGGACAGACAGGAGCTATGTAGTGAGATTCTGTCTCAAAAATAAGTAAATAAATAAATAAATTCTAGAGATGGGCATATTAAAGTTTCTTCTAGAAACTTGGGTTTTTAATACTGTCCATTCTTGCTCATTGCTCTGTAGTTCCTTCCTTCGTGTGTGTGTGTGTGTGTGTGTGTGTGCTCTGCATTTCCTTTCTTCCTTCCTTCCTCCTTCCTTCTCTCCCTCCTCCCTCCCTCCCTCCGTGTGTGTGTGTGTGTGAGTGTGTGTGCTCTGCATTTCCTTCCTTCCTTCCTTCCTCCTTCCTTCCCTCCCTCCCTCCGTGTGTGTGTGTGTGTGTGTGTGTGTGTGTGTGTGCACGCATACACATGGAGACCAGTAGGGGATATCAGGGTCTCTACCTATTCATCTGTTAATGTTCGTGCTGGGATTCAAACTCCAGTGCTGGAACTTGAACTCTGCTCCTCATGACTTCACATCAAGTGCTTTTAACTGCTGAGCCATCTCTGCAGTCCCATTGGGCAGAACATTATTGAAATGCTTGCTCAGAGTCCCTCCTAGCTGCTCCTATGTGCCTCTTCTTTCATGTCCAGAGGATATATGCCTTCCCTGTTCCTCCTGCACCTGGTCATGAAAAGTATGAATTTCATTCATTCATTCCTTAGATCACTTCGCTATTCATTAAATTTTCCCAATAGCAAGTTCCAGAATCTGCTCTTCACATTGTTTTTTAAGGAGAGCTGAGATGATCTCTCCATAAGGCCCAAGCCTACCGTCAGTTCTTTTTGTTTGTTTGTTTTGCTTTGTTTTCGTGTTTTTGGTTTGTTTTTGTTTGCTGTTTGTTTTGTTTTGTTTTGTTTTTTTGAGACAGAGTTTCTCTCTGTGTAACAACCCTGCTATCCTGGAACTCACTCTGTAGACCATGCTGGCCTTGAACTCACAGAGATCTGCTTGCCTCTACCTCCTGAGTGCTGGGATTAAAGGTGTGCACCACCACTGTCTAGCTTGCCTTAGTCCTTTTTATGTCTGTGTGAACCATATGCATTCACAGTGTCTGCAGAGGTCATAAGAGAAAATAAAATCTCCTAAACTAGAGCTAGAGGTGGTTGTGAGTCACCATTTTGGTGCTAGTAACTGAACCAAAGTTGCCTGCAGGGTCAGCAAGTGCTTGCTGATCATAACTGCTGAGCCATATCTTCAAGCCCTCTGCCTTAAGTTCTTGATCCTTGATGAATTTTTTTTTTTCTTTTGGAGACAGAGTTTCTCTGTGTAGCCTTGACTGTCCTGGAACTCACTCTATAGACCAGGCTATGCTCAAACTCTGTTTTGTTCTTTTTTTAAAAAAATATTTATTTATTATGTATACAATATTCTGTCTGTGTATATGCCTGCTGGCCAGAAGAGGGCACCAGACCTCATTACAGATGGTTGTGAGCCACCATGTGGTTGCTGGGAATTGAATTCAGGACCTTTGGAGGAGTAGGCAATGCTCTTAACCTCTGAGCCATTTCTCCAGCCCCCTGTTTTGTTCTTTTAAAAAGAATATGATGATGGGATGTCCCGGGCGGCTCGCGGAGTCCGGCAAGGATGGCCGTGAGTCCCTGCAATGCCATGCGGCCGGGGGAGTCAGGCGGGCGGTTATGGTGGATAAAAGGCTCACAAGACATAGTAAATAAACATAAGGGTAAACATTTATTACTTAAAAAGAAATAGAAAAATAGAGAGACAGAGATAGACAAACATAAAGACACAGAGACAGAGAGAAACGTGTGCACACGACAGGAGACAACCACACGAGAGAGAGAAAGATGGCGAAGGGGGAGGTCAGAAGTGGCTGGGTGGGCGTGGTTAGTTCTTAAAGTGGCAGCAGAAGACTAACACTCTGCATCCACCTTCTCTGCCTCCTAAGTGCTGGGAATAAAGAGGTGTGCCACCACCACCCAGCTCATTGGTGGCATCTTAATTATAGATGTGTGCACCACTATACCTGACCTTCTTTTTGTTGTTGTTTTATTGTTTGGAGTTTTTTTTTTCTTGGCAAGAATTCATGTAGTCCAGGTCCTCACCTGCCAACTACACCTTCTGAATGGTGGGATCACAGGTGTGTGCCATCAAGCCACCCAGCTCACGCCTGGCCCTCTACTCTTAGAGATAAGCCCGGTGGCCACTGCTGTAATAGCCACTCATCTTTTCTTTGGGCTAAGGTGGGCAAAGACTGGGGAGAAGGTGCCTTTCTGCACTATTCCAGCTACTGTGAGTCTCCACAGTCTTTCTGTAATCTTATCCAGTCCTCATGATAGCCTCACCTTTTTCTTCCTCCACACTACCCTGTTTAAACCTTATGGAGTTCAGATACCTCCCCACCCTCAGTTGCCTTACTGACCCAATGATTGATAGAGCTGGGATGTGTCCCGGGCTTGTCTGACTGGAAACATCCCTGTGAGTGATGGGATGGATAACGTTAAAGCCAACTATTATGGGGTATGTAAATAAGTCAAACTGGAAGAGAGGAGGGCCCCAAACATCAGTCAGCAAGTTCCCTTCTCCACTGTGTTCCCACAGGGATTGCTGAACAAACTGCTCCCCTCAATCAAACTTAAGTCTGATAGCAGACCTCCAAACAAGCCAGTCACATCCTTGAGTGGGACCAGGAGCCTCTGCAGCTCAGCACAAGGCCTCCCTGCCTCTTGACCTGCAGTTCGTTCCAATTTTTATTCTTGTTTTGTTTTGGATTTGTTTTTGTTTTTTGTTGTTTTTTCAAGACAAGGTTTCTCTGTGTAGCCCTGGTTGTCTCACACCTCTCTGTATACCAGGCTGGCCTCAAACTCACAGAGATCTGAGTGCCTCTGCCTCCCAAGTGTTGGGATTAAAGCTGTGCACCTCCACTGCTCAGCCAGAAGATTGCCTTAATTTGTTTTAATTGTTGTACAGTTTGTATTTTTCATAGATGGACATGGTGCAAACCTGTAATCCTAGCAGGTAGGGTAAAGGCAGGAGGATCAAGAGTTCAAGGTCATTTTCAGCTCCACAGCAGGCTCCAGCCTGTGTTACAGAAGACCTTGTCTGATAAAACAATTTAAAAATAAATAAATAAAATTGGTATCATCTTTTGGTGGATTTTTCCAGTCATAATAAATTTAGAACAAAAGGCGGAGTGCAAAGTGTTTGACAGCAGTGTATATACACACATACACATATATACGAGTGTGGTATGTGTGTGTTTGAATGTGTGGTTGCACATGTATCCAGGTGTTGTGTGGAGGCCTGAGCTTGGTTTGGGGAATCTTCCTTATGCTCCCATTTATTCTTTGAGGCAGGTCTCTCAATCAAACCCAGACTTGCTGATATGGCTCATCTCATCCCCCATCTTGCCCTGGGGACTGTCTCCAAATTCTGAGGCTGGAATGACAAAGGAGCCATCATACCCACCCAGCATTTATGTGGATTCTGGGGATCCAAACTCTTGTCCCTTTGCTTGCAGCAGAAGCACTTTAAGAGATGAGCCGTCCCACTGCCGCCCAGACACACATCCAGGGCTTTTGAGTTGACCCACCCCAAGGTCTACATGTATGACCTTCTGGAATACATCATTTGTAACCACAGTCAAAGCATCTCCATGGCTTGGAGCAACAGTAGGATATCTGAGCAGAGCATCAGAGGGGGCAGTATTGATGGTGTACCAGAAGTCAGAGGCCTTGAACCTGACCAACCTAACTACTCATTACACAATAGACATTTGCAAGTAAAGCTGTTTGGACAAAAGGGTCTACTGTGTGACACACTGCAGCTTCCAAGGACACTAAGATGAATGAAGAGGGAATGGAGATTTGGGAAAGATAGAGGAGTAAAGTGGGTTTTGTGTGGGTTTTTGTTGTTGTTGTTGTTCTTTTGTTTGTATTAATTAATATTTTTATTTCTTTTAAAATTTCCTTTTGGAAGGTACACTACAAGGGTGAAGGGTGGATATGGGGAGATAGAAATGAGTAGCCTTGGGGTGCATGTGTGA